GCTATCATTGATACAATACTCACTTGGATGATCTTGAAGATGTAGACAAAAGAGTTTCTCTTCATGAGAAGGAATTCTCTTGACATTGTAGCCTTCAACAACTCTATTCGGCTAACACCATATTTTCTGGTTGCCAAAGCAGCCGGGTGGCTCTTGCTCTTGTCAAATGGGGTTGCAAGCTCATCACCAAGTTCCATTCCCACTCGAAATGATTGGAATGCCTCAGCAAACTCCTCTGATGTGATAAACCTGTAAGGCTCATCTTTTCGTACCCAATACTGCATCTGATCTTTTTTTGATGTCACCTGCAACAATGAATTTCATTATGTTAAATGCATAAAAAGATCAACATATTTTTCCAATAAGATAATATAAAGCCATATCAAGACTCACTTCTTGCAAAAAGTCTGCAACACCTTTTCTTTCAGGGCACTGGAAGCCCATGGATTCAAAGAAGTACAGCACCTGTTCACGAGGACCATGGTATACAATCTGGCCTTCAGAGAGGAGGATAATGTCATCAAAAAGATCATAAGTCTCAGGCGCTGGCTGTAGAAGAGATATGACTGCAGTTCCATTAAGAATTTTAACATATTGCTTGATCGAGTTGACAACTTGGAAAGTTGTTGAACTGTCCAATCCAGTAGATATCTCATCCATAAACAAAACCTTTGCTGGTCCAACCAACATCTCCCCTGTGGTCACAAACATAAGTAGATTGATAAATCAGGAATTTGAGTTCTCTGGAACTAGAAAAGGAATATTATATTTTTTGATATATTACCCGTTGTAACACGTTTCCTTTGTCCTCCCGAGATGCCTCTTAACATTGCATCCCCTACAACTGTATCTGCACATACTTCCAGTCCTAAAATCTGAAAAAACAAAAAACCATTAAAAAATTGTGGAGAAAAGGTCATTGAAATATTTCCCGTACAGCTTTTCACAATCTTTAGAGAAAAAGTTTGAGATCTTCTTCTGTGATTACCTTTAGAACATAATCTGTCATTACGTTGGTTTCCTGGCCTTCTGCTGCTATTGCCTGTGACGTTAGAAATGAAGTAAAATAAGCAAATCATCATGAAGTAAAATAAGCAAATCATCATGAAATCTTTCAGGGAGGTCCTTATAAACTATAGTTTCTTACCTTCATGAAGACATCAATGTCAGGATCAGGTTTGATGTTCGATGCTTTCTCTCTTCTTGATAATTCAACCAAAATGTCTAAAAACAACCAAAATGAGTAAAATTTGATGCCTAAACCAGT